TGAACTGGACTTGGAGATATCTAGGCCCTGAACTGACCTGGTTTAGCCTTGGATTGTCCCTGCCCTGGCTCTACCATCATCCTGCCCTGTTCTGCCCTGTCTTGGTACTGAAATGGCCCTGCAACAGCCCAGTAATGCCAATGCCCTGCCCTACACTTTCCTGGCCCTTCCCTTGCCCTGATCCTTCCCTTGATATGCCTTGATCCTGCCCCAGCCCTGGTACTAGCTGGCATTAGCCTGGCTCTACCTTGACATTGGTCCTGTCCTACCTATGAACCAGCTCTGTTCCTGCTCCACCATGACCCTGCTCTGTCACAGCCCTGGCCCTGTCTCCACCCTCGCCCTGGCCCTGGCCCTGACCCTTACCCAGCTCAGGTACTTTCCTAGCTTTGCCCCTCTGTTATGGCCCTGACCTGACCCTACCCTAGACTTCATCCCTGGCTTTTCCCTGCTTAAGGACTTACCTGGTTCTGTCCTGGTCCTGATCCTGTCCTGACCCTGAAATGCCTGGAATTACCCTGGTCTTGCACTACTCTGTCCCTGACCCTGGCTGTCACTGTCCTAGACCCAGCCCTGTTGCCAGTGCTGCTATGGCCCTGACCATTTCCCTGGACTCTTGCCATGCCATGAAGCTGCACTGTCCTTACCCTTGTTCTGGCACTGCCCTGGCCATTCTCTGTCCTTTCCCTTGCCTTGGCATCACCCCGGCCCTGCTCTGCCTGCCTTGTCTCTGTCTAGGCCACACCCTAGGTTTGACCCTGCCCTGGCCATCACCCTAGACTTGGTTGGGTCCTGTCTTGGACCTGGCCATAGCACAGACCCAGCAATTTGTGAAGCCAAGGCAGGTGGATCACCTGAGCTCAGGAGTTCAAGACCAGCCTGACCAACATGGTGAAACTCTATCTTTACCGAAAATGTAAAACTTAGCTGGGTGTGGTGGCAGGCACCTATAATCCCAGCTACTCAGGAGGCTAGCACAAGAAAATTGCTTGATTGAAGCCGGGAGGCAGAGTTTGCAGTGAGCTGCGATTGTGCCACTGCACTCCAGCCTTGGCAATAAGAGTAATACTCCATCTCAAAAAAAAGATTTAATGTGCAAAATAATTCCAAATTTCTACAGTTGAGTGTTCTGAGCACTAAGCTTTGATTCCTGAGAAACGTACTTACCAGAACATTCTTCAGTGATGCCCAAAAAGTGAGGTGTGTCTGCTCTGCAGAGATGAGTCAGGAGTAGTGAAGAAGCAGGTGGCTTGTCAATTCTGCCCACCAGAAACGACGCTCAGCAGGGTTTAGCAACAGTAGTCTCCCCTGTGAACCCACAAGGTAAAGTCTAGGAGGAAACCAGAAAGGAGTTAGCCAAGTTACAAAAGAAGGGCTGAGGCTGGGCGGCCCCACAGGAAGGAAAACGCCAGAAACATAGAAGCTCTGGCCACAGTGTTCTCATGAGGATTTTTATTAAAAAGCAGCTTTGGCAGTCATCCCAGAGCAACCTCACTCATGAGGAGAGATTGGGGTCACAGAGCTGCCTGGCAGTTTTGGAGTCATGCACAGACCTGGAGAAGCTGAAGTCCAGGGGGCCACCTGCATCTGCATGTCAGTAATCAAGTGTATCACTTATTCTCTTCTCCCTCCAAACTGTCACTGCAAGATCCCACTATGCCACTTATTAGCTGTGTGACCTTAGACAAGTTACTTAACATTTCTGACCCTCAGTAAATGGTAGCTAATATTGTTTATTGTCATTAAAAGTGGTTAAATCTTTATAGGGTCATGCACAACCATAAGCAGGTAGCACTGGGAGAGGCAAACATTTCTTATGACAAGTTAGATGGTAAATATTTTAGACACCATAAGCCAAACAGCATTATATATATGTATATATTTCATACATACATAGCTACAGGCACTCAGACAGTGGCTCCCTCAACAATGGCAATGCCTTTCTGGCCAAGACTGGATTGATCAGTGGTTCTTATGCCACATTTTCATGTGAAGTGTTGTTGAAGGCTGCTGTCTTCTCTGTCCTGTTATTACACAACATTGAGTGGGCCCACTCTGGCCACACTCCTGGAACCTCACCACCAGAACCAGGAAGTAAGAGGTCAGGGTCCTCTCCTTCCCTGAAGTTCTAGCTGCAGACCCAACTATGGGCTCACCCTGGAGCCCGGTGTTGGTGCATTCCTAGGCCAGGGAAGGCTATACTCTGCCCCCCACATGACACCTGGGGATACTGAGATGAACCAGATGTGTGAGTGGCCAGAGAGAAGGGCAGCAGCTAGTGTGGCCACTTGCTGGCACCTCCGCTGCTTCCCTTGGCTGGTGTGGAGAGAATCATAGAAAAATAAGAAACATAGAACAGACCAATTATGGGTAATGCAATTAAAGTAGTAATAAAAAGTCTCCCATCAAAGAAAAGCACAAGAATCATGGTTTTACTACTGAATTCAATGAAACATTTTTAAAGAGCTAATACCAAATATACTCAAAATATTCCCCCAAAAATAAAATAAAGAGGAAAAAACACTTCCAAACTTGTCCTATGAGGCCAGCCCTGGTACAAAAACCAGACCAAAACACAACACAAAAAAAGCAAACCACAGGCAAAAATCCCTGATAAACACAGATGCAAAAATCCTCAACCAACTATTTGAAAACTGCATTTGACAAGACAATAAGCAGATCATCTGCCATGATTTAGAGGGATTCATCTGAGAAATATGAGGGTAATTCAATAAATCCAAATAAGTAAATGTGCCACACCACATTCAGCAAATCAAGAAAAACTATATCATCATTTCAGTAATGCTGAAAAAAATAAAATTCAACATTTCTTCATAATTCAAGAAAGCTTTTTCATTACTTCTACCACCTAAAAAGATACCTAAACATAACAAAAAAGTTGGAAGATCCCACAATAAAAATGATAAAAGAGACAAGATATCAAAACAGACACGTGTAAATGGAAAGATCGCCCATGTCCAAGCACTAGAACAATACATCAAAATCTATCACCCAATGTGATCTGCAGAATCAATGCAATCCATGTGAAATTACAAAAGACATTCTTCATGGAAACAGAAAAAAATCCTAAAATTCACATAGAAATGCAAAATATCTCAGATAGATAAAAGAATCATGAACAAAAAGAAAAAAGCTGAAAACATCACAATACCTGATTTTAAAATGTATTATAAATCTTCAGTAACAAAAACAGCATGGTACTGGCCATAAAAGGGGCAAGGGAGAGACAGAGACACACAGACATAGCGGAATGACAGACATATACAAATGAAACAGAATAGAGAACTCAGAAATAAATTCATGCATTTAAAGTCAACTCATTTTTAGCAAAGGCACCAAAAACACACCTTTGGAACGGACAGTCTCTTCAATAAACTGTGCTAGGAAAACACAACACATACATAATAAACGGTCAAGAATAAATCTAGACCGTTATCTTACCAAATACAAAAATCTACTCAAAATAACCATTTAAATGTAGGACCTGACCTGCGACCATAAAACTACTAGAGAAGAAAACAGTATAAATCCTTCATGAAATTGGTTAGGACAAGGAATTTTCAAATACACATCAAAAGCACAAGCAACAAAAGCAAAAAGCATCAAATGCAATTGCATTAAACATAGAAGCTTCTGCAAAGTAGAGGAAGCAATCGGAATGAAGAAAATTCAGAATATGGAAGAATTTGCAAATTATGCCATCAGGCAAGCGGCTAATACAGAAAACATATAAAGAATTCAAACTTCTCCAAAGCAAAAAATACAAAGAACCTTATTTAAAAATCAGAAAAAGATCTACCCAAACCCTTTGTCCCCCAGCATTATTTTTCCATCTTCTTTTCCCAACAGCCTTTGGCCCCTCCCTCTCGCCAGCCTTTTTCTTTCTCCATCTACCCCAAAACTTTTTCCACATTTTTCCCCACTGTCATTTCACAAAGACTTCTCTACTCTCTTGCTCACTACAGTTTTCCCCACCCATCTACCCCAAAACAAAACTTTTCTACACCGTTTTCCCCCACTGTGTTTTTTTCCTTTCTTTCCTACCCTCTTCCCCTCCTCACTCTCATCCCATTTTCTCCTCTATCTACAGAAAAACATTTTCCTCATCTTTTACCAAAGCCTTCTCACCACTCCTGCTCAGCACCCACTTCTCCCCCTTCATCTTCCCAAAACTGCCCCATCGTCTTTTCCCCCTTCCTTCTTGCCACCCTCTTTCCCTTCTCCATCTATCCCAAAACATTTCCTCACCATCTTTTTTGCAAAGCCTTCCCCACTTCCCACTCACCCTCTTCTTCCCCTTATCCTGCTTGCCACCTCTTTTGCCCTCTACGCTATTTTTCCCATCTTCTTTTTCCAATCCCTCTTTCTGCACTCCCTCTGGCCACCCCCTCTTTTCTCTTCCCACTTGCCACCCTCTTCTCCCTCCATCTATCCACTTTATCCACTGTCTTTTCTTTCTGCACTGTCTTTCTTTCCTGCCCATCGTCTATTTGCAAAACCTTTTCTCCTCCCCACTCGCTACCCCCTTTTCCCTCTTCATTCACCTAAAACATTTTCTCCCCTTCTTTTCGCAAAACCTTCTCTCCCTCCTGCTTTCCCACTTTCTCTTCCCCCTCCCTCGTTGCATCACCTTTCCTTCTCCCACTTGTCTCCCTCTTCCCTTCTGCATCTGCCCAAAATCTTTTTATGCACCGTCTTCTTTCCTCCCGTATTTTTTCAGACCTTTCTCCCTCCTGCTCACCCCCTGCTTCCCCCCTCACCATCCTCTCATTCCTCCTCTCACTTGCCACTCTATTTTCCCCTTCCATCTACCCCAAAATAGTTTTCCCACCATCTTTTCCTCACCGTCTTTTTTCAACATCTTATCCTGTTCGCCATCCTCTTTGTCCCTTTGGCAATAACCACCCTCCTTAGCCCTCCCACCTCGCTCCAAACTCGTTTCCCCTCCTACCGCTCCAGGGGCATGACTCCATGGCTACCGCCAACCACAGTGAGGTGAGCTGCAGCTGCAGCAAGGCGAACCGAACCGCAGTGCAGACTCCAGCTTCCAGCAGGCGGCAGCTGGCTCTCCCGTCTTCTACTCCTCTAAGCCCGGCACCTAGCAGCACAGCTAATGGACACAGAAAAGCCTGGAATGGAGTGCCTGCCCAACAGAGCCATTTATATACTGAGGTTATGCACAGAGGTTCCTGAACTACACGGTCTCATTGGATGAAAACAAGTCTGAGGACAACCAATAAGAGCATGAAAATAAAATCCAATCAGAGTAGGCCTAAAGGTTTCCTCTCATCCAATGAGAACATGCAGGAACCATGAGCAAAATCCTCAGTATATAACGCATGCTGAGGACGCCTCACGCAGTTCCAGCCTCTTGTGTATGTTCTTGAGGAGCCACTGTGTTCCCGGCTTAGAGGACCAGGAGAAGGGGCGACAGAGCCACCTACTGCACGCTGGAAGCTGCAGCCTGCGGTATCGTGGCTGGCCTCGCTGCAGTGGGTGGTGGTGATGGATGGAAACTGCAGCGGCTGGAGCGGTAGGAGGGCGACCGGAGGGTAGGGGAGAGGGCTGGAGGGTAGGAGGGTGGTCGGAGAGGTAGGGGAGCGGGCTGGAGCGGTAGGGGAGCGGGCTGGAGCGGTAGGAGGGTGGTCGGAGAGGTAGGGGAGTGGGCTGGAGCGGTAGGAGGGCGGATGGGGAGGTAGGGGAGCAGTGGGCTGGAGCGGTACGAGGGTGGCCGGAGTGGTAGGAGCACGGTTGGAGCGGTAGGGGAGCGGGCTGGAGCGGTAGGAGGGTGGCGGGAGCGGCAGGAGTGCGGTTGGAGCGGTAGGGGAGCGGGCTGGAGCGGTAGGAGCGCAGCCGGAGTCCTAGGGGAGTGGGCTGGAGTGGTAGGAAGGTGGTCGGAGAGGTAGGGGAGCGGGCTGGAGCAGTGGGAGTGCAGCCAGAGCAGTAGGGGAGCGGGTTGGAGCGGTAGGAGGGCCGTTGGAGTGGTAGGGGAGCAGGTTGGCGCGGTAGGAGTGCAGCTGGAGCGGTAGGAGGGCAGCTGGAATCCTAGGGGAGCGGTCTGGAGTGGTAGGAGGGTGGCCAGAGAGGTAGGGGAGCGGGCTGGAGGGTTAGGAGGGCAGCCGGAGTGGTAGGAGGGCGGCCGGAGTCCTAGGGGAGCAGGCTGGAGTGGTAGCAGGGAGGCCACAGTCAGAGGGGAGTGGGCTGGAGCGGTAGGAGGGTGGCCGGAGTCTTAGGGGAGTGGGTTGGATCAGTAGGAGGGCGACCGGAGGGGTTGGGGAGCGGGCTGGAGGGGTAGGAGGGCGGCGGGAGCGGTAGGAAGACAGCTGGAGCGGTAGGAAAGCGGGCTGGAGTGGTAGGAGGGCGGCCAGAGTGTTGGGGGAGCAGGCTGGAGCGATAGCTCCAAGGTGCATGGTTTTCAGAACAGGATTTCTGGGAGCAGCCCCTCGATGATTATGGGGCAGGGGTTACTCTTATCACTTGGAGGGCACTTGGACCGGGTACCTGATGCCCAAGGCTTCCCCTGTGGGTGAGAGGCAGTGAGAGGCAGTGTGGGGCGTGTGTACATGGGATTTCACGCATGTGATGAAAAGGCATCCATGCAGAAGAGTGAACGATGCGAAAGTGTTGTAGCACCGTGGAAACGTATAGGCATTACAATCTGAGCTATTTGATCAGAAAATAAAAAAATAGGCCAGCATGGTGACTCATGCCTGTAATCCCAGCATTGTGGGAGGCCAAGGCAGGAGGACCACTTGAGTCTAAGAGTTTGAGTTCAGCCTGGGGGACATAGCAAGACCCTGTCTCTCCTAAGAATTTCTTATAAAAAGCTGGGCATGGTGGTGCATGCCTGTGGTTCCAGCCGCTTGGGAGGCTGAGGATTGCTTGAGCCCAGGAGTTTGATGCTATAGTGAACCATGATCACACCACTGCACTCGAGCATGGGTGACAGAGAGACTGTCTGAAAGGAAAAAAGAAAGAAGAAGCCACACCAACATGCTACTATGTCCTCTCTTTTTTTTTTTTTTTTTTTTTTTTTTACGACAGTTTCACTCTGTTGTCCAGGCTAAAGTGCAGTAGGGCGATCTCAACTCACTGCAACCTCTGCCTACCAGGTTCAAGCGATTTTCCTGCCTCAGCCTCCTGAGTAGCTGGGATTACAGGTGGCCACCACGACACTCAGCTAATTTTTTGTATTTTTAGTAAAGAGGGAGTTTCATTAAGTTGACCAGGCTGGTCTTGAACTCCTGATCTCATGATCTGCCCACCTCAGCCTCCAAAAGTGCTGGGATTGTAGGTGTGAGCCACCAAGCCCAGGCTTTTTTTTTTTTTTTTTTTTTGGATACAGTTTCACTTCTGTTGCTCAGGCTGGAGTGCAATGGTGTGATCTCAGTTCACTGCAACCTCCACTTCCCAGGCTCAAGCAATTCTCCTGCCTCACCCCCCTGAGTATCTGGGACCACAGGAGTGCACCACTGCACCTGGCTAATATATTTGTATTTTTGGTTGAGACGGGGTTTTGCCATGTTGCGCAGGTGCAAGGCTCATGAGTACAGTTCCTGTTTCATTCACCGCAGTATCCCCAGTGCCTGAGACATGCCTGGCATTTAGTAAATCCTCAAGAAATATGTGTAAGGGAGTGAATAGTTTCGGCTGGAAGTGGGAAGCCTCCCACTTCTCTGTCCACAGTGTCTGCGTGTCCCTCCCACAGGGGTGTTCCACTGCTCACTGTATTTCCTATTGAAAATGTCCTGGACCTGCTCCCTCAGTGTGTGGGTGATGTGGGTATGGGAGAGCCTCGTATTGTAATTTTCTGCAAAGTGTAAAACGACTATGGTTTGGGCTGTTCAGTGAAAAGGCACTTGGGGAATTTTAAGGAATATGATTTTCTAATTATGGGAAACTCCTTCTCTGGCAATTAATGGATCTTTAGAGTGGGCCCCTCAGGTCCTTCAGCACCAAGGTGTTGATGGAGACATGTTTTTTCCAGAAGGACATGCACTGTCATCGCAACAGTGATGAGCTGGAAATTAATTGCTGACATGTGAAAACCACCAAACCAATAAATAAGTCCCAGAGGTGAGGGACACTGGAGAGTGGATTCTTGTGCCCCAGGCTGGTGGGTAGGGAATGGGGGCTTTATGAAGTCCCTAGAGAGCTGGAGAAAAGGGAAAGAACACAAGCTCAGCTAACTCAGCAGGTGGTGGGGGACGAGCAGTCCCCACAGACACGGGGTGGGCCTGGCAGCTCCCAGTGGGCACTCACTCACCCAGAGGGTGTTCATTAAAGACCACCAAGTATGGCCAGGAACAGTGGCCTATGCCTGTACTCCCAGCTCTTGGGGAGGCCACGGTAGGAGGATCACCTGAGGTCAGGAGTTGGAGAGCAGCCTGGCCAACGTGGTGAAACTAGAAATACAAAAATGAGCTGGGCATGGTGCTGTGAGCCTGTAATCCCAGCTACTAGGGAGGCTGAGGCAAGACAATTGCTTGAACCTAGGAGGTGGAGGGTGTAGAGGATCATACCCCACATGCCAGCCTGGGCAACAGAGTGAGACTATCTCAGGAAAAACAAAAACAAAAGCTGGGCGCAGTGGCTCACACCTTTAATCTCAGCACTTTGGGAGGTGGATCATCTGAAGTCAGGAGTTCAAGACCAACCTGTCCAGCATGGTGAAACCCTGGCTCTACTAAAAAAATATAAAAAATTATCCGGGATTGGTGGCTCACACCTGTAATTTCAGCACATTGAGAGGCTGAGGCAGCAGGATTACGAGGTCAGGAGTTCGAGACCAGTCTGACCAACATGGTGAAACCCTGTCTCTACAAAGAGTACAAAAATTAGCCGGGTGTGGTGGTGGGTACCTGTAATCCCAACTACTCAGGAGGCTGAAGCAGGAGAGTTGCTTGAATGCTTGAACCTAGAAGGCAGAGGTTGCAATGAGCCGAGATTTTGCCTCCAAACTCCAGCCTGGTCAACAAGAGTGAAACTCTGTCTCAAAATAAGGCAAGTGCCAGCATGTACTGGGGGATCCCAGACCGCCATGAGCCCCTGACTGCAGGGCAGGGAGGTAGGAGGGGAGGAGGGAGTGACTCTGGGCACTTGGGCCAGGCTTGTAGTGAGGGTTTCAGTCCGCTAAGGGGGCTGGGTATGAGGAGCTGTGGTGAGGAGAGTCATGAACTCCCCCAGTCATGGAATGTCCCAGAACAGCTGTGCAGAAAAGAGTATGAGAGACCAGAGGCAGAGAGCAGCTGCTCTCTAGGCCTTGGGCCCCTCTCTCTGGGCTCCCCCACCCCACCAGTGACTCTTCCCACCACCAGTCTTGTCAACCCCTTTCTCCTCAGTACTAGAGGGTGGCCACACAGTCACCCTCTACTACTCACTTGCAGCCACACCCTCAGAGCAGCCCCAACATGGGGGCTCCACAGGGCATCACCTATCTCCCAGCTCAGACCCTGGCACCTTCCTGCTGCTCGATCCTCCTCTTGCCTTTCCTCAAGTGTCTCCCTGCTTGCTTCCATTCCTCTCCTTCCTTGCTTACTTCCACCTCCTGCCTCCCAGCCTAGCCCAAACCTTTTCCACCTGACCTTAGTGACACACCCCTCTCTCCCTCCCTTCCTTCCTTCCTTCCTTTCTTCCCTCCCTCCCTTCCCCTACTTCTCTCCTCTTTTTTTCCTTATTTTCTTTTTCCTTTCTTCCTTCCTTCCTTTCTTTCTCTTTCTTTTTCTCTTCCTCCCTTCCCTTCCCCTTCCACTTCCCCTTCTCCTTCCTTCTTTCTTTCCTTCCCTCCTTCCTTTTCCCTTCCTCCCTCCCTTCCTTTCCCCACTTCTCTCCTTTCTTTTCTTTCCTTCCTTTCTTCCTTTTTCTTTTTTCCTTCTTTCTCTTTCTTCCTTTCTTTTTCCTCCCTTCCCTTTGCACTTACACTTCCCTTTCTCCTTCCTGCCCTCCTCCTTCCTTTCCTCCCTTCCTTCATTCCCCAACTTCTTTCCTCTTCCTTCCTTCTTTCCTCTTTCTTTCTCTCTGCTTCCTTTCTTTCTTTATGTCTTTCTTTTTGTATATCCTTCCATCCTTTCTCTTTCATTCTTTCTTTCTCTCTCTTTTCTTCCATTCTCTTTCCATCTTTCTTACACTTCCACTTCCCTTTCTTCTTCTTTCCTTCTTTTCCTTCTTCCTTTCCTTCCCCCACTTCTTTTCCTTTCCTTCATTCCTTGCTTTCCCCTCTTTCTTCTTTTCTTTCTGTCTCTTTCTTTTTTTCTTTTTTTCCTTCCTTTCTCTCTTTCTTTCTTTCATTCATTCTTTCCTCTCTTTCTCTTTTTTCCTTTCTTTCGTGGGAGGTCAAGGTGGATGGCTCACCTGAAGTAATGAGTTTGAGCCCAACTTGGCCAACATGGTTAAACCCTGTCTCTAAAAATACAAAAAAAATTAGCTGGGCATGGTGGCAGATGCCTGTAATTCCAGCTACATGGGAGGCTGAAGCAAGATAATTACTTTCATCTAAGAGGCAGAGGTTGCAGTGAGCCAGAATTACACCATTGCACTCCAGCCTGGGTGACAAGAGCAAGACACCGAATTAAAAAATAAAATGAATGAGGAGGAGGAGGAGGAGAAAAGACAGCCAGAAGAGGGGGAGGAGGAACAGCCAGGCACGGTGGCTCACACCTGTAATTTGAGGAGGAGAAACAGCCAGGTGAGGTGGCTCATGCCTGTAAGAGGAGGAGGAGGAACAACCAGGTGGGGTGGCTGATGCCTATAATCTGAGGAGAAGGAGGAAGAGAAGAAAAAGGGGAGGAGAAAAAGGATCAGGAAGAGGAAGAACAGCCAGGTGAGGTGGCTCATGCCTGTCATTTGAGGAGAAGGAAAATTGGAGGAGGAGGAAGAACAGCAAGGTGCAGTGGCTCATGCCTGTAATCCCAGCTTTTAGTGAGGTTGAGGCAGGCAGATTACAAGGTCAGGAGTTTGAGACCAGCCTGACTGACATGATGACACCCTGTCTTTGCTAACAATACAAAAATTAACCGGGCATGGTGGTCCCGCTTTTAATCCCAGCTACTTGGGAGGCTGAAGCAGGAGAATTGTTTGAATGCAGCAAGTGGAAGTTGCAATGAGCCATGATTGTGCCACTGCACTCCAGCCTGACAACAGAGCTAGACTCCATTATAAAATACAAAATAAAATAATAAAATACTAGACAACATGGCTTCAATCTGGTAAAAACCCCATCTGCATAATAAAAGATTAGGGTGGAGTGGCCAGCTTCTTTCACAGGCTTTACAAATAGCATCCCTGGTCTAACCAGTCTTTTGCACCCTATGTAAATCAGACACCACCTCCTCAAGCTCCTCTGTAAAACCTGTAAATCCAGCACTTTGAAAGGCTGAGGCCACTTGGGGTCAGAAGTTCAAGACCAGTCTGG